AACCATTTATATTGTTTGCCAAATTTCAATCTTTTTCTGTCAAGTACAAATGAATGCAGATCTTTCAACTGGCAGAGCTGCTGTTCTCATCTCCCAAAGCAAAATTCATGGAAATCTTCCAATTTAAAGGAAGAAATATCATCATCTGTCAGAGCAACATTCATGGAAAACTTTCCAACCTGCCGAGAGGCTTATGTGTGCACATCTTTCAAAGTAAAATTTTGATGTTGATTATTTCCAACATGCAGTGATGCTTTTGAAGAATGTCTCCTCACAACTATAACTCCTTCATGTCAGCATTTCTCTAAATCTCCCACAGAAAGCAATGGCATATAATGATGTGTATAAAAAACAGCAGGTCGTACAGCAAACCGAGAGACATAATTACAGTGAAATATGGCCTCAGAGCTCAGCCTAAGAAACCAGAAGGTGAAAAAGGTGATCATATCCTGCTGTTCGAAGACAGAGACAGATTTGCTCTGAGCAAAAAAAAATAAATCGCTCCAATTTCATCATAAATAGGCCTATTGCGCCTGACTGAAGGCTTCCAATGTCTCTGGCTGTGTACAACATCATCTGAGTTAAAACCCTGTTGAGACTATAACCCTAGCAAGTGGGTGAGTTGTGATTGTGGCCATTAAACCAGCCTCAGCAGTACGATATGCAATGCATTGACTTTCACTGTCTTAGTCAAACGTAGCTCAAATCAGGCTTTCCTATCCTATTTTTTGTTGGTTCAAAGTGACATTATCACCTATCATTTTATTATATGATCATTGTACTGACAGCTTAATTCAACGGTTATATAGCAGGCTCTTGAAAACAAGCACCCCCCCCCCCCCCAAGTTGAAACTTAAATGTTTTCAGTTAAAACTGCTCTGAAAGTGGTCTATTCTATTTCAGATCGGATTCTGGTACGTAAATACGTAAATACGATGAGTGTTTTGTCAACAATACAGCTTGGCCTATGAGAACCTATAGATCCATGATCCTGTTGCCAAACAAAATTCTTAAGGTTCTCCTGTTGCATGTGGTAGTTCTTTCTTTTGGCCAGTAGCATAACAACATATCTGTGTGACATTCATGATAAAGATCAAGACGAAAAATCCAGTCAAAAAAATATAACTTATCACAGGATATGAACCCTAAAACTCTCTCAGAAAGATGGAATAAAAAATAGATTCACTATCACAACTCACACGCGCGCTTTATTTTGTTTTACTCATGAAGTTGTTTTTAAAATGACATCTATTCAACATAACGTAACTTGCTGATGCTAACCACGCCTGAATGGCAAGCTCCATTTGTCATGGCTTTACTGGTAAATTGTGCAACTGGAGAGGTAGGGAGGAAGGTGACCCGAGGACACAGGTGTCACGTGAAGAAACCGTCGTCGTGAATAAACCATTCTGGCGGATTATTCACGCGGGGGTAGCAGTCTGTTGACTTACAGTACGTAGCTGCACATGCATTTCCAACATTTCCCCGTAGAGAAAGTTGTAGTATTATCAAACACACAATTTCTTTTTCATGAAAATGACTGAACTCTGATTTGAAAGAACATTGTAGAGTGAAAAGATTTATACTACGAGTCTTAGATCTGCTACGTTTTTTACACAGAGCAAAACAGTTCAGTCACGATCAAAAGCTCACTTCCAACATTCCCCCGTATACTGTAGTAATAAGATTATCAAATACATACTCTCTCATGACGCAAACCACTGAATTATTAATTGGAAAATCATAGTTCAGTGCAAACATATAGCGCCTACTTAGGACGACATCGTCATACCGGAAGTTACTTCTTTCAATCTACCCTCAATGCGCATGTGCAGAACGGTTTCGTCACGGCACGGGTCTATCACGCCACACCGGGTCATTTGTAATCCACCTTAATATGATGTAGTTAAGACATCTTCATGAGGGGGTTATGGCCAATTACAATTCGATGCATCTCCAGGCCTACTTTTAAAGAATATGCAGACATGTAACATTTTTTTCCAATTGTGACTGTTTTAATACTTGTTAGTTAGTTCCTTTTTGTTTTCTTCGAAAATAAAACTATTAGGTTGAAAAGAAGCATTGGGGTTTTACTGAAAAGTCAAGTGATACTATGAAGACTTCATTTTGTTTTGTTCCGTTTTTACACAATTTCATCCACCCACTGCTAATAATTTTTCATGGTATAACTCCAGTTTTACTTCGTGGGTATAACATAAGGGATAAGGCCAGACAACGGGTTATGTTAAATCAAACACCAGTCCATGCCTACAAGTACATGTCACATGTGGATCATGTGACTACGTATACGAATATGTTGTACATAAACGGTGGGCAGCAGCACTCTGATGATATACTTACTGGAGGTCACTTGATATAAAGTGTGAACTTTACCTATCTCTTGTAAAAATAAACCTTATTGGACTCAACTTAAGTTTATAAAAAGCCTCCCTGGTATGCTGAAGGTGCAACATAGAGAAAAAATATACAATAATTTCTGGGATAAAAAGTTCTTGAATTGATCCTTTATTTCCAACCTTTTTTGCACTTGTTGACTTTTAAGATTTCTAACACCAATCTGTGGAGTGAAATGACATTTTGGAATTTCACAATGTTTCGATTATTCTTAAAAACTTCTAGAAATACAAAACTCAATTGCTAATACTTCACCTCTAGATGCTGAATCTACTTCATGCACCTTTCCCAATAGCTGATTTTCCCCATTACCCTTAACATTACATCATTTAAATGAAAGTTTCTAACATGTCTTTATATCAATGTGCTGTACATTATCAGTGGCATATACCATGACTGCAAACACTACAGAAATAAATTCATCACGATGCAATTTATGAGAAAAAAAGTTTTCTAGCAGCTGACCACAAGGTGAACCTACTGGTGGTTGCTCCATGTTAAGGTTATTTTTACAATATGCTACATGTATACATAAACCACGTTAGGGAAATCATGTTCTAGATTGGTTCTGCTTTCACAACAGTTCTTGTAAAAATAAAATGTGACATTGCAGCATTATCTATTCTAAGAAGCCAGATCCAATGAATCTAGGTATCACCTTGTAGCTTGTTCAGGCCAGATATCTTTTCTTTGTTTTTCTCACACAGGAATCTGCAATTAAATCCCTAAAGCTCGTCATTAACCTGTGATTGCTGGGTCAGGCTTCTTATGATGCTCACCCAAAATAAAATAAAATAATCATTCTGCAATTAGTTGACTGGTATTTTTATTTTTTCCCCCTCTGGCTGGTTCTTCTTCACTGAAAACGTCACTGCACTAAATGCAGGGATGAGTTTACTATTTTGTGAAAAAGCTGAAAAATATGGCGCAGTGTCCAGGAGGCCAATGATATTTTTTGACTTCCAATAAGTTGGTAATCTGCGGAAAGTTGGAAAAATCTCATCCCTGTAAATAATTATGTAAATTGGCACTAAACAGTAAATATCCAATCATTCAATATTGCCAATATATTACCCCTATATCCAAATACTAACCAGTCAATTTTAAATATGAAGGCTTAAAAAGTTGTCTTAAACCTCATAAAACACCTGTACAATTACACTGCAGGTAAAACTAATGTTCAGCATGTAAGCACAGTAGATTATGAATTTGAATGTAAGTTCTAATGTTAGTGCCCATCATAAGGAGTAAAATTATTCTCCCACAAACTGATACAGAAATAGCAGATGTAACATGAGGCACAGATTTTAATAATGTAAAAATCTTACTGATCAATGGAAATCTATTGTGTAGTACATGTACTATCAAAGGAATACATATTAGCAAAGGGAAGCAATCTTCTTTCAATAATCCCCACTAAATTTCTCAGAAAGTTGAATATTTTTATAGAAAATAGCACATGAAAAGCAGAAAAAAATTCAGTAAGTTTGAAATTGTCACTTCTGTAAATTTTCGCACACACACACACGCACACACACACACACACACACACACACACTAAAGGTAAAACATGATACAACTGCTATATCACTAATGAAATTCTTCAACCTGACCCCACAGGTCGGATAACCTTTTCTAACCACTAAATCCTATCCTGAAGGGGAAACTTAATAGATAGTCTTTCACTTAACACAATTTACACCCCAAAGTGAAAGCTGACACCCGTGTCCTCATGCAGAGTGCAAGCTACTGATATACTACACTTGCTTTTATTCCATTTACGCTACCAAAAACACCTCTCTTATGATATACAAGCACCGTTTTCTGTAAGTTTTCTACTTGTTCATCACATAATCTCCTCACTTAATCAAGACCCATGCAGCCTTGCCCCTACACTGGTGAGGAAAAACTATAAACAGAGCTTTCCTACACTTTTCTTTTTCTTTGTTTTCTTTATCTTTAGGAAGTTTTTTTTCCACATGCTCATTCATCTGCACACATCTCCTGATATATCAACTTAGCAATTGCTGAGAAGTTTTTTTCATAATTTATTCATCTTTACAAGTTTAGATGTTTAATTTCCTACACTTTTAATACATAATTTGTCTATAATGGTGTCTTTGCTTTTTGCCGTTCAGTATGTTAGAATTAGAAAATACAAATCTGAAAGCAAACATACTGTTTGATATTAATTTTTTTTTTTTTTTTGACAATTCAGATATCAAAGAAACAAAATCATACCTGCAAAATAGAACACTTTATTATTAAATTTTATAACTTTCATTAGTTTTGATTTCTATAATAGCTCTGGAAAAGGCAAAAAAAAAAAAAAAAAAAAAAAAAAAAAAAAAAAAAAACAGAAAATAAAGGAAACAATCCAAGCAACTCACATTTATAAATTAAACAAAAGTTATCATTTCAAGATTTCTAATAACTGTGGGCAGGAAAACTTTAAAACTTGAACCCAAGTAGCATTTTACAGTTTTTTTCATCACAGTCATAAAATATTAAATACTGGCATAAAATGGTTTTTGAAAATAAAAGCAATGGATTTTGTGAGGACACTGCAATCATATGATACTTACCAGACTTTTTCTCGTGCTCACGTCTTTGGTATCTGCTTCAGGAGATATTTGGCCACAGCATTAGGAAATCCTACCAATCATAATGTAGAAATCAGGTTTAGTTTGTTAACATGGAGATCAGGATATTACACTCCAAAAACTGGTGTGTGTGTGTGTGTGTGTGTGTGTGTGTGTGTGTGTGAGAGAGAGAGAGAGAGAGCATGCCCATGTTTGAATACTTAGCAAGGCCCGAATGTAAACTATACAATTTGCCCATGTTCTTTTACTACAAAAATCAATTGCAGTATCAAACGTCTTTATTTACTCACATAAACCATTTGGGTCTAGGTCTTTATGTCACTGGGGAGGCTAAATATAATAACCTGCTGCTCCCCAAAAACAATACATCTTAAAATATCAAATATATGTCCATGATAAGACACCCTTTTTTGACACCTTCCTTTTTTGTGCAGAATGTCCCATGAAAAAAGTTCAATTAAATACTCAAGTTCAATTAAAAACTAACAATTGATTGATGTTTAAGTTTTATTTGGCATAAGCTAGCTGATATTTTCTTGGTGGAAAAATGATATCACACTTGGGGAAACAGTACTATATCTAAATACCAGTCATATCAAGATTCTTCTGGCCAGCTAAAGACTCACATGCCAATGGTGGTTTTTTACACTGCATCAAATGAGTTGCTTAAAAATATAATGCCCTGCCACTGTATAGTTAACAGAGTTGTAGAATGCATTCAGACATCTCATCTAGTGCAATCTTTAAAATTGGTCCACTTTAAATATAGGTAGGTAAATAAATTGTAGTTGTTAAAATTAGAAAAAAAGATTTTTTTGAAATTGTTATACCTAGCATTACAGAACTTAAAAAACTTTCTGTCATGTAGTGAGCTTGATGAAAATAAGGAACAGGATGGAGGAACTGTCTCTGCATAGAAATAACAGGTTTATTGTAAGTCTTTTATCAAAATCATATTTTGGTGGCGATAAAAAAGCTTTCATTGGCAGCAATGACATAAAATTAAATTTTGAATATACAAACAATTTATTAGCTAATGTCCATGGGTCTGTAAAGAAAAGAGAAGAAACAAATCAGCTGAAGCTCCCCCTTCTTTCTCTCCCTCTCTTTCTCTCCCTCTCTCTCTCTCCTGGTATAGTCAGATCTATTCTGAGAAATCACATGTAGTTTCTGATTTGCCTCACTTGGCTAGCAGGTGATAATGGTTGGTGAATGATATTATAACACATGTATCTCAGTAACCTGGCACATGCCTGCCTATTATTATGTAACGTATGCATGGTGCTAATGATAGATACTTTGTTCGTCAGTAAATCATGTTTTTCTACTTCATCCAGGGTATGACATAATGTAACGTATAAATATAGAATAAGCCACATATCTCTGTGAGCTAAAAAAAAATTAGTGTCTGAAAATCTTAGCGAGATTCTCAATCCCGAATAAATATCCAAGATGCCCCAAGTACCAAGCATGGTTATGAGCATTAATACGTTTTCTAAATATTTTACAGATTTACTGTGCCTCCCTTTCCCATCTTTAATTTTCTGCACAACCCAGCTATATATCCCACAATACTACTACTGATACATGTCGAGTATGCCGCTGCATCCCTTCACGTCCCTGTGTGTGGTAGTAAGGGGAGTACGTAACAAAGAGATCCATTTTTTTCAATTGATAAAAGAAAAACTTTTATTCAAAGCTAGCAGAACAGTGTGCTATCCACCCTGTTCATATGATAGGCAACACACATGCACAAACAGGAGATTTTGGGAACCCGCACACCACCCCCTGGGGTGAGAGCTCACTAGTTTCGGAAATCCTAATCATCATCAAGCAGGTGAGCAAACATCACCCTCTTGTAATCCTGGGGCCCTCATCTACTAATACATGCTCTTCAACAGGGGTGGCAGCCAAAATTAACCATATATACATAATTCTGGGGCAAGAAGCTGGCCAGGGAGTCCAGACAGATTGGGAACAAAAGAGAGGTCAACGAAATGCACGCGCTATATTTATATCCATAACTGCATAACAGCATCTGTACCTGAAGATGCACAATAGCTATGTAGATGGTTTTTACTTTGGGATTAAGGATGTGAAAAGAAATCTATTTGTGTACAGAACATTAGACTTTTACTTTAAATTTAAATGTTTTAAGGTGAAAAGATACAGCTTAGTCAAAAAATCAAATTTTATTTAATCCTAAGAGAGTAAATGATATTTTTTGGTGTTGGAAAACTGATACTTACTGTGGATATGGACGTTACTCTTGGCTATCTACACATGGCTAGACAGTCATGAAGCACCTGGCTACCCCCTGAACCAAAGGTATCGCTTTCTCTCCACCTCTCACAGGGCACTGACCCTACGTCGTGGCTTTCCAGAATACTGCAAGGATTTTGTTCCTTTCCTGTTTTTTTCTTCACCTGGTTCTTCTTCTAAATGTGGATCTCTTTCTTATGATTATGTGCCCTCTCAATTTCCTCTGTCTCCTATATGAAAAAAATGTGTGTTATAAAACTAAGGGTGAAGAGCGATAATCTATTTTTAGGATGTACAGCAAACAGAAAAACATTGACATCTTGAATGAAAAACTGCATAAGTTAGTACTGATAATTTCTAAGTTCTCAGAATATAAAAGCATATTGTTTGCATCCTAGAGACCCTAGAGGCAGGTCATTTGTATCAAAAAGTTCATTGTAGGTTTATCAAAAACACAAGTACTGTAGGGAGGATTAGAACTCCATCAGTCCATCATACACAAAATAAAACTATTTGTGTAGAGTTGTAGAAATAAGTTTCTCTACATTTTAACAAAGAAACTGTTTGAGCACTGTGGACAAAGGGAACATCAGTGAAGTCCATTTAGATGTGGATCTCTGGCCTGTTTCACAAATAAGTCAAAGGTGGCTCATGTAGTAGGCAGATATTACTCTATTTCAGTGTCAGTGGACTACTACATATTGATTCTGGATTCAAAGGGGCACATGCAATGTACTGGAAATGGTCTGAAAGTTCAAACTTTTAACTCATTTTTTATGTGGAATTAAAAACACTTTCTTTTAGGCTTAAACAAAACACCAAATGTAATCTCATTGTCATCCCCTTCATTGCTCAAAAACTTGACTTGCTAACATGAGCCCAGATATGGATTCCCCATGGGACATGCTAACACGAGCCCAGATACAGATTCCCCATGAGATCACCCCTTTCCTTTCCTGCTGAAGTTTCATTTACTTTGATTCTTGTCTTCACACAAAGGTTTGTTTTTTTAAGGCTGCTCAGTTAACCAATTCTTCTCCTCTATTGGCCTCAGACACGAATCTGTGCAACTCACAGCTGATGCTAAACTGTAGAGCAACTTCATCTTGACAGGAACAGAACTTAACTGGTAAACCAACATAATTTTTTTCCTAAAGGGGAATCATACTTGAGGAGTGTAATCTTATCAAAGTGAACGTTTTGCTTCATCCAGTGTGTGTTTCTGAGAATTCATGCATACCAAAACAAATCTAGTCTGGGGAATTTGAATTGGTGAAATCACTGAGAAATTTGATTTGATTTTGATTTGAATTTGATTTTTTTTGCTCTTTTTTTAGACTTTAAATAATACTATCTTAAACAGAATAGTTTTCACCTAAAAAAATACACCAAGCTCTTGAATCATAAATCACAACTAAACTTCGTTAATAGAAGGCAAATGGCCAAAATATGGGGATAATTAAAAAATGCCGCCTATGATTAAGGAATACCCATAACCAGTTAAACAGGCTTGTTTATAATTTCAGACTTATTTCAAAATCGGGCACAATTTATCCATAGAAGGCAAAAGTCTCTGCCCTAGAATCTGATACCAAACCAATGAGAGACAGCTGTGCAGCTGACTGAACAATGCACTGTACAGCCCCAGAGTCACTTAGTGCAACATGGCACAATCACTGCCATCTCACCCGCAACACAATCATCATGGTCACACCTAACACATTCATCAGCACGGACACCATGCATGCATTGCCTTACTGAAGACTGTATCCAGGTCAAGAGGAAGAGGTTGACAGAGTCAGTAACTTGATATCTTGTGCTGGGAAGGTTGAGTAATGGGTTTAAAAGGGGTATAAAAGGCCACTCCCTAGAGCCAGCTTAATCAATGAAACAGATTTCAGAAAATCTGACATATATCTCCCTTTATCTGAAATGGCCATGATACAGCTAGTAGTCAACCCTTCCTGCAACAACAAATTTTCATACTTGAAAAAATCTGTGCCTCAGTACCATACACCCTGGACATGAAACAGGTACCTTTCCTATCACTTCACTGTACACTGGGGTGGTCATATTATAGCAGGCATCATCTTATTGCATTAGGTGTGACAACCTGATTGTGTTTGACACAATCCAACTAAGTCTCTGGAGGCCGTTTAGCAGCATAATTGATGAGAAATCACATATTCCCTGGAGCACAATTAAAAGATCTGCTAATCTCTAACTGCACACTTTCATATGAATGTGTTCCTTCAAAGTGCAGGCAGATCTAAATCCTGAGTAAAAAATCAATAAATTGCATGTAATTCACCCAATGGGGCCCTAAGGAGCAGATTTTTTCTTGACATTTGGCATTATCTCTTATATGTATGTGTCTAGCTCTACGCCAAGGCTTTAGATTAGAGACACTTTATAGGTTCTTTTATTGCATCCATTTTCTTGTCTGTATTTCTACTGTACTAAGAGATAAAAATTGGATTTTTTTTCTTTTCTTTTCTTTTTTTTTTTTTTTTTTTTTTGGGGGGGGGGGGGCAATTTCTATTCAGTCTATTGGGAGTTATGTTTTGCCTGTCACAATCATTTCAATAGCCATTCAATTTCACAGCAAGTGGTAAAGGAGAATGAGAACGATTTGAAATTATTAACCAAGTTTACACACACATACACTCATTTACATTCTGAAGCCTAGAGCCTTGTGTACTGTGTTACAAATGAGCTTTATTTTACATGATTCTTTGAAGCCAATAAGTTAAAATGAGACAATGGGTTTATTTGTTTCTAATAAAGGATGCTGGGCAGTTACTGGTAAATCAATTCCCTTGATCCTTCAACAGAAAAGGTAATTATCCTCTCCACTGCTTACTACCATCATATCCGTGAGCAATAAGTGACCATGTTCAGATTGTAAATCACTACCACGCAACATAATGACCATAATAATCAACCTTTCACATCTAACCATTTGTTATCACACATGAGAAGAGTTTTTTTCTGTATGCCTTTCCTGACCCCACATTTGCTTACCCTCTACCAGGGCGACAGACTGATTTTTCATAAGATACTCACAGATATGTCTTTAGATAAATAAACAGTCATTTGGTTCTCTGCAGATTAAATTGATTTCATCTGGCCAAAAGTCACAGGCTGACTTTTTGAAAATTTCCTTGTGATATCTCCCACCCTGGTAGAGGGTAACATTTGTTCATGATTTAAAACTATCAGTTTTGAACAGAATGATAGAGTGTCCCTTTAGTTGTATGTATGATACTCCTTAATTGGTGTGTGCAGTCGACACTGACTTCAAACATTTTCTTTCACAAACCACTCAAACTACAGCATTAGTCCAGAACTGAAACCATTCCAAGTCAAATCAGTCAAATCAGAGACTTGATTTTCTTGGGGAAAGACAACTGCCAGGCACTGAGCCAATGGCGCAAATTAATAGTACCCAGCAGCAAATATATTTATTTCCCATAATATCAGAAGCACAGATTTATTTTCAAGTCTAGTTGTCTAAAATCAATGATGATAATATCTCATCTTGCACAGAGAGTACCAATTACAGATCTGAATTCCGGACTCCTATAATTAACATTTCTAAATGTCTTCATTTTCACTACTGGCTTCTATTAACAATGTGATTCTGCACTTTTTCAGCCTGTCAAGCAGTCCGAGCCAAATAACTTCCTTTATAACCACAGTCAATACAATAGGACATGGTCCTTGTCTTTAAAGAGAAAAACCTTAGAATATTTCAGGAAAAAATTTGATACAGCCATACTGGAGAAGAGGAGTAAGAAAGATTAAGAAGGCTTTTCTCCAATAGATGAACTCATCAGAATGGTTGCAAAACTAGAGATTGGTCATGTAAGATATTCCTGAAAGAAAACAGTCTCTGCAGTCTGACCCCTGACTTATACCAGCTCCTTGCATCTCTAATCACTGCCAATCAAGCACACCAATTATTTATCATCACTAAAACTTAATGACAGAGAAAAAATACCAGCATGTCAAGCAACCAGCAGCACACATGTATATACTAGAATGCTTGAATAATAATAATTTCCTTGCCAGAGAGTAATAATGAGACCTGGAGCCAAGGCTGGTTTCTCTAACAAACACCTGTCAAATGCTGATCCATTTTAAGACCTGATCAAGAAAACATAACTCACCTTTTATTTAAATTATGATAAACAAAAGGTTAATAGTCTAAGNTCATTTACATTCTGAAGCCTAGAGCCTTGTGTACTGTGTTACAAATGAGCTTTATTTTACATGATTCTTTGAAGCCAATAAGTTAAAATGAGACAATGGGTTTATTTGTTTCTAATAAAGGATGCTGGGCAGTTACTGGTAAATCAATTCCCTTGATCCTTCAACAGAAAAGGTAATTATCCTCTCCACTGCTTACTACCATCATATCCGTGAGCAATAAGTGACCATGTTCAGATTGTAAATCACTACCACGCAACATAATGACCATAATAATCAACCTTTCACATCTAACCATTTGTTATCACACATGAGAAGAGTTTTTTTCTGTATGCCTTTCCTGACCCCACATTTGCTTACCCTCTACCAGGGCGACAGACTGATTTTTCATAAGATACTCACAGATATGTCTTTAGATAAATAAACAGTCATTTGGTTCTCTGCAGATTAAATTGATTTCATCTGGCCAAAAGTCACAGGCTGACTTTTTGAAAATTTCCTTGTGATATCTCCCACCCTGGTAGAGGGTAACATTTGTTCATGATTTAAAACTATCAGTTTTGAACAGAATGATAGAGTGTCCCTTTAGTTGTATGTATGATACTCCTTAATTGGTGTGTGCAGTCGACACTGACTTCAAACATTTTCTTTCACAAACCACTCAAACTACAGCATTAGTCCAGAACTGAAACCATTCCAAGTCAAATCAGTCAAATCAGAGACTTGATTTTCTTGGGGAAAGACAACTGCCAGGCACTGAGCCAATGGCGCAAATTAATAGTACCCAGCAGCAAATATATTTATTTCCCATAATATCAGAAGCACAGATTTATTTTCAAGTCTAGTTGTCTAAAATCAATGATGATAATATCTCATCTTGCACAGAGAGTACCAATTACAGATCTGAATTCCGGACTCCTATAATTAACATTTCTAAATGTCTTCATTTTCACTACTGGCTTCTATTAACAATGTGATTCTGCACTTTTTCAGCCTGTCAAGCAGTCCGAGCCAAATA